CCCCCCCCCCCCCCCCCCCCCCCAAAATAAAGCGTAAAACAAACGACCAGCATACGAAACTAGCAAAAGTTTAAGGAACAGAAAAAACAGTTTATAGTAAGTGCGAATCGTATAAAGAGGTTAAATTCTCTCTGAGCAGAACAGCATATTTTTAGCGTCTTCTCTAGTTTGACCCAGTTTTCTGTAGTTTGACCCGCTTTCTGTAGTTTGATCCATGTTTCTGTAGTTTGACCCAGTTTTCTGTAGTTTGACCCAGGTTTTTGTAGTTTGACCCAGATTTCTGTAGTTTGACCCAGATTTCTGTAGTTTGACCCAGTTTCTGTAGTTTGATCCATGTTTCTGTAGTTTGACCCAGTTTTCTGTAGTTTGACCCGGGTCGTTGTGTGTGCAGGATCTCTGCAGCGGGGCAGATGGACCGGCGGGACAGTCTGGGCGTCTGTATGGACCCTCTGCAAGGCGAGGAGTCCCTTCAGAGAGACCGGGCCGTCTGCATCTCCACCAACGGTAATCAGACCTGAGAGTCCATCAGGATGAGTCAGCAGAATAAATTAATTATTTGTGTCTGTTTGATGTTCATTCAAGTCTTTTTCCACCATAACATCTCAGAGTTCTGCTGCATGAACATTTATTCTGATCTGTTTGTTTTTCAGCAGCTAAATGTTTTCTAAGTATCTTTTGTCCATCATGAGTTCTCCAGAAGTTCTGATGGTCAGTTTGTTGGACGTTTGCTGATTCTTGTCTGAACGCTTCTCCTTTTAGGAGCCGTTTTTGTCAACGGTAAGGAGATGACCAACCAGCTTCCTGCCATCGCCGTCGGCTCAGCCGTCACCTTTGACATGGAGTTGGTCAACTTGTTGCCTGGCAACAACAACCTGAGCGATGGCGTCGCTTTCAAGCTGAGGGTGACCATCGGCTCCGGGAACCGGGAGGTGGTCTTTGACTGGCTGCTGGAGCAGGCCGTGGACTCCTTCTTCTTCGGCTGCTCCTTCCTTCACTCCGGATGGAAGGTTCTGGTGTTCTAGAGGCTCAGGTCCATTCAGCAGCATTCCGTTAAGGTTCTGTCGTCCTCTCAGGTTCGAGGCAACTTCAGGGTCCTGTAGAGTCCAGAAATCTAAAAGTAAAAACCCAACTTTTGTCTTCTGAGAGCTTCTCTGCTTCAGCAGATCCAATCGGCTCAGAGTTCTAGTTCTGTTAGTCTGTCATTAAATCTAAAGTTTCCATTTAAAGTGGGGATCAGCTGATTGTTGCTGTGATGAACTTATATTTTGTTCTTTGTACTGTTTCTTAGAGGGGAAGGAGAGAATGGATCAGAACCGATAAGAACCTTTCAAGACCAGTTTTTGTTTCTGTGCTACTGCAGCTCCGAGCTCCTCAGGTCCACTGAGTCGGTTCTGAACTATCAGAACTGAAATAATTTGTCCAAGTGATTTTCAGACTGAGGAACTGAGGCTTCATCTACCCTCCAGATCTGACGGTTCTGCTCAGGTCCTATGGTTCTGCTCACCTTAGACCGATCATCCTTTTAAAGATGGACTGACTGTCCGTTTAACCTGGACCACCTGCAGCCCTCAAGACTTCATGTAGAACCTGCAGGGGACTGAATATGAAACCCTGAGGGATCCCAGACTTGGTGTTTGTTTTCTATAAATTGTTCAGTTTTTTAACCTCCCTCTGAAAATTTCAGTTTTAGTTTTTTTGCCCAGTTTTTGTCTGACAAACTTTAGATTTTTATTCCTGAACGGAGTTAAAAACTTAAGACAGAAAATCAGTCTGAGCTTAAATCAAAGACAGAAAAAATTGTTTCATTTTCTGTTGGACGTTAAAACGTTGATCCAAATCAACTGCTGGACCTGAAGAGGGCTGTTTGAGCCCGTCACAGCTGTCTCTCTGGGATTATTTATATTTTAAGTCTTGTTTCCTGTTTGGAGCGAGCTTCAATCATTTGTTCCTTTTCATAAAACTCCTGCAGATCTGAACGTTTCAAACAGATCACTTACCGTAATTTCCGGACGATAGAGTGCACCTGAATATAAGCCACACGTGTATAAACTGCAGGTGTTGTAACGTTGGTTACACATTGTAACCCCAGATTCTATGAGTATAGGCACAGCCCTTTAAGGCTATTGTTGGTGGGTCTTCCCTATGCGCACAGCACTGAAACCTCTAGTTCATGCCCACCTGCTGTGTGGGCCCCGCCCTCGGTCTATGTCCACTGAGGCACCAGTGCGTGTGATACTGGTCTATGTCTGCGCGCACCTTTCAGGAAGCGTTTCGAGGATGGCTAAAAACCATCCCGTCACCAAAGCCCTCGTGACAGGAGAAGATGGCTGCAGCTTTCGTTTTAATTGTGCTGAAAGCCAAGTTTCTGTCCATCGGCAGCTGCAGAAAAGATAAAATGCAGTCCAGGGTGTCACAAAATGAGATCCACGCCCTTCTCCACACACTGCTGCTGAAAAGCAGTCCACTTGGACGTGTAACACGCTGTAAGCAGCGAGTGCGCTCTGAATCGTGATTAACAGGATCGGGGGAAAAGCATAAAGCAGTTCCTTCAGCCAACTCCTAGTAAGGACTGGGGGCTTCCCCATTGACTCAGGTCTGCCTCTACTGACGGAGGGATGGACATCACTCGGTGTCTGTGACGCACGGGATCGATGTGAAGATGATTGAACCACCTCTGCAAACGTTTCATGTGCAACAACCCCAGTGGGACCACCTCGTGCGCTGCCACCTTCATGCCCAACAGATGCATGATAGATGGCGCGGTCACTGCTCCTTGAGCTCTGACACGCTGGAGCAATGACGTCAGGGTTTCCCTTCTCAGCTGTGAGAGACGGGACCTCATGGTGGACGAGTTGAGCTCCACTCCCGTATAAACAATACGGGTACAGCCCAGCTTTTTTCCCAGTTTATGGAGAAACCCAGGCACGACGGGTGTGTTGCTAAAGTCCTCGTTTGCTCTTCTGCCTCCTCTCTGGACTGGGCCAGCAAGAGCAGGTCATCCAGATAAAAAATGGTTCTCATCCCTGCCGTGCTTAAAGTCTGCAGAGCCGTCTCCACGCACTTGGAGAATGTGCGGCAGGCGAGCGAGTACCCGAACGGCAGACGGTTGTACAGGTACTGGACTCCTTGGAAGCAAAAACAAAAGAAATTTTCTGTGTTTCTTGGGATCGGAACGTGTAAGTATGCATCCCTTTGATTGACGGAGTTGAACCGTTTGTCTTCAACATCACACTATATACAGGTGCTGGTCATAAAATGAGAATATCACTAAAAGGTTGATTTATCTCAGTAATTCTGTTCAAAAAGTGAAACTTGTAAATTAAATTAATCCATTACACACAGACTGATATATTTCAAAAGTTTATTTATTTTAATGTTAATGATTATAACTGACAACTAATGAAAACAAATTCGGTATCTCAGAAAATTAGAATATTACTTAAGATCAATGACAAAAGGATTTTTAGAAATGTTGGCCAACTGAAAAGTATGAACATGAAAAGTATGAACATGTACAGCATCAGTACTTAGTTGTTGCTCCTTTTGTCTGGATTACTGCAGCAATGCAACGTGTCATGGAGTCTATCAGTCTGTAGCTCTGCTCAGGTGTCATGAGAGCCCAGGTTGCTCTGATAGTGGCCTTCAGCTCTTTGAACTGTTGGGTCTGGTGTATCACATCTTCCTCTTCACAACACCCCATAGACTTTGTTGTTTTCAACCAGTTTGACACGACTGTCAACAAGGAAGAGGGCCGGCAGTGGAGGAGGGGGCGTACCAAAGAGACCATCTTATCACAAGCAAAACTGGTTTGTTCCACTTTGGCATAAACTGTTGGGGGAAGAATCAGTTTTGTTGTGCGTTTCCTTGACTGATGAAGCCTTCCGGACTAAAGGCGAAACGTTTCAGCACAAAAAAAGAAACTGTCCAGATGACCTGACTGAAAATTGTTGGATTGTATACCTGGATTATTGAGCATAGACTTTGTTGTTAATACCCCATAGATTTTCTCTGGGGTTAAGGTCAGGTGAGTTTGCCGGCCAATTAGTAGCAGGGATACCATGATCCTTTAAACCAGGTACTGGTAGCTTTGGCACTGTGCGCAGGTGCCAAGTCCTGTTGGAAAATTTAATCTGCATCTCCATAAAGTTGGTCAACAGCAGGAAGCATGAAGTGCTCTAAAACTTCCTGATAGATGCTGTGTTGATCTTGAACTTCAGAAAACAGTGCAACAACACCAGCAAATGTCATGGCACCCCAAACCATCACTGACTGTGGAAACTTGACACTGGAGCTCAAGCAATATGAATTATGTGCCTCTCTTCTTCCAGACTCTGGGACCTTGGTTTCCAAAGGAAATGTGAAATTTACTTTTATCAGAGAACATTGGACCACTCAACAGCAGTCCCAGGCGAGACTCTTCTGCCGCGGTCTCTTGTTCAAGAGTGGCTTGACACAAGGAATGCGACAGCTGAAACCCATGTCTTGCTTGTGTGTGGTAGTTCTTGATGCATCGACTCCAACTGCAGTCCACTCTTTGTGAATCTTCCCCACATTTTGGAATGGGTTTTGTTTCACAATCCTCTCCAGGGTGCGGTTATCCCTATTGCTGGTACACTTTTTTTCTACCACATCTTTTCCTTTCCTTTGCCTCTCTATTAATGTGCTTGGACACAGAGCTCTGTGAACAGCCAGCCTCTTTAGCTATGACCTTTTGTGTCTTCCGTCCTTGTGTAAGGTGTCAATGGTTGTCTTTTGGACAACTGTCAAGTCAGCAGTCTTCCCCATGATTGTGTAGCTACAGAACTAGACTGAGACCATTTAAAGGCTTTTGCAGGTGTTTTGAATTAATTAGCTGATTAGACTGTGGCACCAGGTGTCTTCAATGCAGAATCTTTTCACAATTTTCTGAGATACTGAATTTTGGGTTTTCATTAGTTGTCACTTATAATCATCAACATTAAAAGAAATAAACATTTGAACTGTGTAATGAATGAATATAATATACAAGTTTCACTTTTTGAATGGAATTACTGAAATAAAACTTTTTTCATGATATTCTAATTTTATGACTCCAACACTCGCTTGACTGTGATCATGTGAAACTGTTGTTTCATGATATATTTGTTGAAAAAAGACAGATCGGTCTCATCCCGCCTGTCTTCTTAAGAGTTTAGAGATTGTGGAGTCTCGTTCCTTTAGTAAGGACTTATAGACCGGAAAGTACGGTAGATTTATTAAAGTTCTTCTGAAGGTTTGAAACGTTCCCGTCAGGAGGGCTCGGCCCGGCCCAGCTCGGGTTCGTGTTGGCAGGTTTAACATCTGTGCAGCAGGCAGGGACCCACTGAGCCTCTGTTGTCAAATTATTTTTTCTGTTTTCAGGAGAGAAAAAAAATTAACAGCAGAAACTTTTCCATAAAAATTGTCGACGTTTCCGTTTCTGGAGGCCTGAACAAAAAAAAAAAATCTAATTATTTTCTTTAATCTGCTGCTTCTTCTGACAGTTTTCTTCCTGCTCGTCTTTTGGAATATTTTCAATGATGTTTACAGACTCTGGAGGAACTTTAGGTCAAGAACTGAACAATCGAGAAGATTTTCTGTTCAGAATGTTTAACCGCTGAGAACAACGGCCCAACATTTTATTTACCAGTGGGTTTTATCTTTTCCTTCCTGGTGACGTGTCCCCTTCTTCTGGAGGACGGCGAGATTCTGGCAAAGGTCCAGTTGATGGTACAAACGTTGTGAAAGCAGCCAAAAGAACCTCAGAACTTTTTCTCCGGTGAAGGAGAAACCGACAGCTGAAGCCTCGACGGTCAAACCTCTGGATTATTTTATCTTTACATTTTGTTCAATTTAACATTTTTTTTAATTGGAAATAAACTCTTTTTCATGCAGTTGAGTCTTTTAACTTATTTAAAAAACAAACTAACTCTGTTAGTCTAACAAATTTAAGTTGATTTTAAATTCAGTTTAAATTTATTTTTAAACCGATATTTAATGTTATTTTATGCTCTATGCATATGTTTAATGATAAGACTAAAAGGAAAAAGGTATGAATAATTGAAGATTGGCCTTTGTTCAACATGGAGCTGTTTATTGAGTAGCACCATTTTAAAGTTGGTGTTTGCTGAAGCTCAGTTGGACTATCCTGGTGCCCAAGCCTCACTCAAACCACCTTCCCTACTTCACAGCCTGAGGCCTGTTCCATCCATCCTGCTCAGTCGACCAAGGTCTGCTCCATTTGCTGCCCTTGATCTGCAGCCTGACTTACAGTGGCCGGGAAGTGCAAAACAAATCACAGGCAGGTGAAACAGATCCCAGGGAGTAGAACAAGCAGATGCAGAGTGGAGCGACAAAAGAATGCAGCAGCACTGGGTGGATACAGCAGGCCGCAGAGCAGGACAGATGATCCGAACATCAAGTTGTGGGACAGGGTAGACAAAGCAGCAGAGCAAGGTAAACAGGTGATCAAACTACTCTTCACCAGCCTTTGAGCAGCTAACTCCCTGCAGTGTTGCCAGATAGGGTCGAGGTTTTCCAGCACAAAAGTCTTAAAAACTGCCCCATCACACAAAAACCCGCCCAATCAATATATTGTTATATTTACTGTTTGAACACACACACATACATAGACCTTTTCCAAAAAATGAGAACATCACAGAAAAGTTGTTTTAACTTCTATAATTCTGTTCAAGAAGTTAATCTTTAATGGATGATAGATTCACGGCCCACATTTTAAACAATTACAAGTATTTATTTGTTTATTTTTAAATAATTTGGGCTTCCAGCTCATGAAACCCACAAAAACAGGATTTCAAAAAATTAAAATACTGTGGAAACATCAGCCTAAATGTTGCAGGGTAAGAATGATTTAAACTGAGTGTGACACTAATAATCTACTAAACTCAAAGCACCTGCACAGGTTTCCCCAGGTGTCATTAAATTGCTTCAGTTTGGTTCAATTGTCTCAGTTGGGTTCAATACAGGGAAGACTGCAGACATAACAACTGGCCAGAAGACCATCATTGATACTCTCCATAGGATGGGTAAGCCACAAAAGTTCATAGCTAAGGAGGCTGGCTGTTCACAGAGTGCTGTGTCCAAGCATGTCAATGGAAAGTCTAGTGGAAGGGCAAAATGTGGCAGGAGAACATGCACCAGCAAATGAGATGACCATGGGCTTCAGCAGATCATCAAACAGAGAAGATTCCAGAATCTGGCAGAGATTCAGAAAGAGTGGAATGAGGCGGGAGTCACAATTTCAAAAACCATCTCATTCAGACGCATCGGGAGATGGGCTACAACTGTCGGGTTCCTCCGTCCTCTTTTCCGATGAAAGTAAAGTGTGTCTTTCATTCGGAAATCAAGGTCCAAGGGTTTGGTTGAAGAAGGGTGAGGAACAGAACCCATACTGCTTGAGGTCCAGTGTGAAATATCCACAGTCAGTCATAATTTTGGGTGCAATGTTCAGTGCAGGTGTTGGTAAACTCTGCTTTCTTAAATCTAAGGTCACCACAACAGTCTACCAGAATGTTTTAGAGGACTTCATGATTTCTTCTGCTGAGGATCTGTATGGAGATGCAGATTTCATCTTCCAGTAGGACCTGGACCTGCCCATGCTGCCAGAAGCACCAAAACCTAGTTTGATGTGCATGCCATCACAGTGTTTGTCTGGCCAGCCAACTCGCTGGACCTAAACCACGTTGAGAATCTATGGATTATTCTCAAGAGGAAAATGAGGAGCACCAGACCCAACAACAAAGAAGAGCTGACAGCATCAAGGAAATCTGGGCTTCCATAACTCCCAGTTAATTGTCTTAATACCACGTCGCATCGAGGCAGTGATTAAAGCAAAGGGATTCACAACCAAGTATTGAAGATTGACATATCGTTTTGAATGTATCATATTTTGATTGATTTGTTGTGATCCTAATTTTTTTTTTCCTGCAAAAACTGAGTAGTGTGGACTGATGTCTTCACAGTATTCTATCCATCCACCCATTATCTTTACCCGCTTCTTCCATTTTGGGTCACGGGGGTCGCCGGTGCCCATGTCCGGCAATCACTGTGCGAGGGGTGGGGTACACCCTGGACAGGTCGCAAGTCCATCACAGGGACACATGGAGACAAACGAGACAAAAACCATTCACTCTCTCACTCACACCTAGGGACAATTTAGAGTTACCAATCAGCCTAACATGCATGTTTTTGGTCTGTGGGAGGAAACCCACGAATGCATGGATAGAACATGCAAACTCCACCCAGAAAGGCCCCCAGACCGGGATTTGAGCTAGGGACCTGCTCGCTGAGAGGCAGCAGCTCTACTAGTTGTGTCACCGTTCTGCCGGCAGAGGGCCCCTCTGTGTCAAGGGCCCCTGGGCACGTGCCCAGATTGCCCGTATGGTAGATCCGGCCTTGCCTGGGTGAGTACATCGAACTATGTAATTTACATGTGGGACAACTCTCATCGTGGTACTGGACCTATAATACATTCTGTACAACACACAGGACATGAACTTGTCATCACGTGTCTAGAGATTTACCTAGCTTTCAAAGCCTTTTAGCGTTACATAAACTTATGCTTCTTGGGAAATCCAGCATCACTTTAAAGAAAGGTGCATCAGACTTTTTGTGCTTCGTGACAAGGCAGAAGCTGTCGATTCTTTTATTACTACTTTTATCTGGGAAAGTGCAGTCTTGCCCTGGTCCAGATTTACTCCATGTCCAGACTCCCTCTGACTTTGGGCGGCTGTGGCTGAGTGGTTAGAGCAGTCGTCCTCCAATGCTAGCGTTGGGGGTTCGAATCCACCAGCAGTCACATGCCGAAGTGTCCCTGGGCAAGACACAGAACCCTTCATAGCCTCTGTGTCCCATCCGTGTATGAATGTGAGCTAAAGCACTGATTAGTCTCATTAGAATTATTTGTTCAATTAGCTTTGTAGAGATGTAGAGTGCTGTATGAATGGGTAAATGAGGACACAGATTGAGTTGTAAACAAGATAGAAAGGCGCTATATAAGTACAGTCCATTTACTTTAAATCCTTGTCTGGTATTGAAAATTGTTCATCTTAATGTCTGTAGCTCGCTTTCTAAGATGAATACGGTTAGATTCTGGGTTGATTCAACAGCTGCAGATATTGTTGTAATCTCTGAAACTTGGTTGACCAAGTCTATAACAGATGCAGACCTAGAAAAGGTGGTGGTGTTGCTATTTATGTTAAATCAATAACCCGACTGAGCTTTTCTTTTTAAAGACGGCAGCAGACCTTGTAGCCGAGCCCCTGACTATACTTTTTAACCTTAATGTGGAAAACCAAGAATTTCCTTCAATTTGGAAATCAGCCTTTTGTTTTCCCTTATTAAAGGGTGGTGATCCATCAGTTTTAATCAACTAAAGGCCAATATCTAATCTTTCCATGCTGGCCAAAATTTTAGTCTCTTGTGAGTGACCAAGTTAAATAATTTTTATATCACAATATCTCATCCTTTCAGTCAGGCTTTAGAAAGAGGCATAGTACCACAACAGCTGCTTTGAAGGTGGTTAACGACATTATTGTCGCTCTTGATAAGAAGCAGTGTTGTGCGGCTCTCTGTTGATTTGTCAAAATAATTTAATACTGTAGACCATGAAATTCTGATAACCAGGCTGCAGGATTGTGGTTTTTCAGAACAAGCTGTTGTGGAGGAAGTGGCGTGGAGCTTTCACCTCAAAAACTCAAGGGCCTAAGCAAAGAGGCTGCAAGAGTCGTCTGACTGATATTATGAAGACTCGTATGCTTTCTTTGAGCAGACTTGGAGACGAAACGCCATGTTACATCTTGATGCTTGTTTTTGCTAAATAAACTGGGATTAAGAAAATTATCTACCTCTCCTGTGTGACACATTTATTTAAGCAGCAGAAAGGATAATATTAAATTATTCTAACATGTACCGCAGGGATCTATTTTAGGCCCTCTTCTATTCATAATTGATTTCAATGAATTGGGACAGAATGTGTCTGATGCTAATTTGCATTTTTATGCACACAACATTTATTGCACTGGGTTCACTCCTACTCAGGCTATTGAATTATTACACAAAGGTTTTACTGCTATCCAATGCTCTTCGGGAGACTAGTCGAACATTGAGTCAGGAGTCCAACTTGGGTTCACACATGGAGAAAAAAAACATGGAGGATGGTTTATCTCTGTTTTTCTGCTGCTGGAAATAAAAATGCTGAATTTCACCTGATTTGAATCAACCTTGATGCTGAGTGTTAAGAACAGAAAACTCAGAAACATTCAGATTATTTGAAACCAGATTTAAACTGAAATCGTCGTGTTCTCCTGAAAAACCTGAACAAACAAACAGCTTTGAGCACCATTAAATTTTTAGTTTAAATCCTGAAAAAATAGGTCCTGGAGGAAAAACTAAGCTCCAGAGCTTCCACATTTTAAAAAGGTCATCTGCAGCGAGTCATCTGTGTTCTGTTTGTAGGCTCTGGACCTCAGAACTCGGGTCCAGTTCAGGGTTCTGTAGAAGATGAGTCACTTCAGAACCGAGCCCATGACTTTCTGCGTGGAGTTTGTTTTTGCTGTTGCCTCCTCCGGCTGATTGTTTCGGCTGCTATTCCTGGTTTCATCAGCGCACGTTTTAAACTCTGATATATCCGTATCGGGATCGGGTTCCGGCTGGGACTCCACGGCCGTCTCCCAGTCTTCCTCCTCGTCCTCCTCATCTCCGTGTCTGCGAGCATCCTGGTTCTGCAGGAGACGGAGACGGGTCACCGCCATGTCGATGGTCTGCGTGCCGATCAGGTTGAAGTCGTGCATGCTGATGAGGTGCAGCAGGAAGTTTCGCTGCAGATTCTGCTCCACGATGGCAGCACCGTGGTGATCAGCGAACAGGAGGCATGCCTCGTTCATCTGACTGTCTGCAAGAAACCTGCACGAAAAACACCAAGAAAACATTAGCTTCTTTTAAAACAGCAAACACGTCGCCATCGGGATGAAAGTGGTCCAAGTGAGAAAAACTCAGACTAGACCAGAGGAAAAGACGGTTCTAACTGTGGAGAACCAGAGGAACAATGGACCATGGTTCTAAC